ATTTCCATCTACTAAAATATGAATCTTAATTTCATTTTGAAGCACTTATATTTTAAGAAGGTGAATGGTAATGATAAATAGCAAAATCCAAAAATTTTTTTTAACTAGTAGTGCCTCTTTAGTTGCTCTTTAAGAGAAAACATAAATATGAGATAATTTTCAGAGCATAATAAAAGGTTTTTCTCCAGGCCTTTTAAGAATTGATTTTACTGTCCAAAAAAGCTATTCCTGCTAAGCTATGACTATGTGAATAATTGCCTTACTTTTATAATTAAAAAAATCTCTTCCAAATGCAGCCATCCTCAAAGAATTATCATTTAATCAAGAGATGTAATGAATTTTACTGTCATTTGTCCAACAATATTTATGTAGTAGCCATTATGTTTGAGGCTGTTCTCTCTGCAAAGAATCAACAAGAACAAATAAAACACTCACCTTTACATTCTAGACAGATACTAAAACAAATATACAAATAAGTATGTAATAGAATGTCAGTTTGTGATTAATGCTAAGGTAGGAACAGTAATTTTAAATGAACTTTGAGAAATACATTTTTTCAGGTTGAGCATATAAAATCTTTGACTTGTTTTTAAATTTGCTTTTGAATCTTTGTTCCTTCTGAAAAGTATTTACAGAAATTAGAAATTCATCGTATTTATTTTGTATAGTTATCTAAAAATTTAGCCTCAATTGATGAATTTAGCATTCATAAATGAAAGTGTAGATGGAAAAATAAAGTCTTTAGTTAACCACTACTTTGCTTTTAGTAGTAAAGTCTGCAGCTCATGAAATTTGTAATTCTGGAGTGGTTTCAGCTTGCACCAGCCCCTGGGGAGCCAGTTGATCCAGCACTAAGTTACGGATTATTATTTAGCTGTAGAAGTTCTGTGCTTAGGCATTTTCTAACATCTTTCCCTTTTAGTCAGTTGAAATTTTGTATTTTTGCCAAATAAAACAAATCCTGTACTAATAAGAAGCTATAAATAGTGAGAGCATGAGTCAGAGCCAGCGTCACCCCTATTCCTTGTGTGTACCTCTCTAGTGCTCCCCAGTAAGTTCCTTTTGCACAAACATGTATTACTGCATAACTAACTACTCTTCTACAGACCAACTCCAGGTATCTAAGTGAGGGCTGTTTTTTAGAACTAAGCAACGCTATGACTGGTGCAATTCTGGCATTTTGCCATGGTCCAAAGCCGAATGTGAAACTGCATGCCGGTGATGGGGGAAAAGAGCAGCACACTTCCTGCCTTTCTTGTGTACCTCCCTGGAGAGTTCAGTGCAGATGACTGCTGCTAGGTCTCCAAAATGGATTTTTTCAGGGGAAAAAGAAAAAAACAAGCTGCTTAAGAGTCCCATCTCTTCTGCTCTCAGGTCCTGTCTGATAGATTTGTCCTCTTCTGCTTCATTAATTTGTTCATTCATTCAGTATATGTTCACTTAACACTGTTACCAGGTACTATGCTCTCATACACTATGGAAGAATGAGCAAGCTAAAATCCTTGTCCTCAAGGAATTTCTTTTAGTGGAGAATTGTGACTTGTAAATCCAATTACAAAACTATGATAGGAGTAGTTTTATATAAAAGAGAGATATGCAGAATACTCTGAGACTACAAATAAAGCTACTATTTATGAAGGATCTGCTCCCCTAGCCGTGTTATGTGTTATCTAATCCTTTCAACAGCTTTATGAGGTAGATACGATCACACCACATCTAACTTGTGCCGGGCACGGAGCGGGGCTATCAGGGAAGGGTTTTTGAGAAAGCAATTCTTGATTTGATTTTAAGATGAATGAGAAAGGTAGAGAGTGGGAGGAAGAGGAGGCAACGTGGCATTTCACACAGAAAAAGGTGAATTTGCAAAAGTACAGTTTGTGTGACAGAACTGTTGCTGGAATGTACAGTAGGTTCTGGGAAATGAAAGCTGGCAGGATACAGGTCATGAAGGAACTTACGGGCCATGCTTCTCGCCTGTAGAAGATACAAATATGATCAGACGTGCATTTTGTTTCAGGATGATAACTCTGTTAACTACCTGACCAGGCATGAGAAGAGTGTTTTAATTGTAAAGGAGGTAGTTTTCTTTTAAAGGAAGAAATTCTCTTCTAGCCTTGACTTAACGTTTATTAAGTACATATGAACATTAAACTAAGCTCTTGAAATATCTTATAGTTTTATAGTTGTTTGTTATACAAAACAACTGTATAAATGTAATATAAATAAAATTCAAACCAATCATGAATTTATATAACAGCATATTTTTGTGAAATAGTCACTTCTGATGAGTGAAGGTGCTGCACTTCTGGTGCAGGTCCTTTCGGTTTTTAATTAAACATTTCCATATATTGCACGGTCTGTGGTAACTTAATTCTTCCCTCCAAATTTTCTCTGAACCACTAAGAAAACCTTTGTTCTATCTGATTAACAGTTCTTTGGGAAAGGGGAAAAAGGATAATCATATCTAATATTCTCTCTTTCTAAACAATTAAAGTAGTGGTGTTTGGTGTCATAATCATAAAAAAAATACTGTCCTAAAATCACATGGCTGTTATGACTCAGAATATGCTTGTATCAAATATTTTATCAAAATGAATACACATAAATCATTATAGGGAACTGATGGACTCTGATTTGAAAAATGCAGAGCTAGAGGATTCCTTGTGCATCCAGAGCAGGGATTTTGTAAATAAGGAAGCCATTAATGTGTTTGGTGGAGAATCACTGGCCAAAGCATCTTAAAAAGTGAAGAATCTAGAACCCAGAGGTCAGCAGGTTTTTGTTAAAATCAATTATCTTAAGGACCCTTGAGAGTAGAAATGATTGTTTCTAAACTATCTCAATTATGACATTTGTAAGATAAAATAACTTGATGAAGACATGGCTATTGAGGGGGTGCAGCTCAGAAATGCATCTTTCAGCCAAAGGAGCCAGTAAACGTTGTGCTTACTTCACCTGGGTCCTCTGTGATGTGGCCTCTCAGTGGTGACGAGCTCAGAAATTTAAACCAGTTTTTAAAAATTACTTACATTCAGTTCTGTATTATAATTAGTCATCATTGCTAAATAACATGTTATTAGATAAGAAAATTGTATCTTGGTTTGTCTATAAAAAAAATCCACACTTCTCCATTTCAAAGGGTGAAGGGAAATTTGGGGAAGTTGATGTAGAAACTCTCCTTTATTGAGCATTTACCATGTTCAAGGCACTGTGCTAGACTCTTTACATGTATTAACTAAATACTCAAAACGACACTCATGATATAACTGTTATTATAACGTTCATTTTACAAATGGAGAAAATGAAGTAGAGAGAGGTGAAATAACTTAGGATCACATGGCTCGTAAGTAGCAAAACCAGGATTTGAATATGGCAAGCTAAGTTCATAGTCTTACCCATAATGCTCCCTTGCCTCTCCTCTTCATTCAAGGGCATGTGTGCCTTAGACTTCGTCACTCATTCTGGAGATGTTGAACTGGCAGTGACCCCTGACAAAGGGACCCTGCCGCCCCTGCCTCCACACTGTTTATTTCCATACCCTTCCTTGCAGCAGTCTAGGAGGAAGAATGAAGGGAAGGGAAGTGATATCTTTATCAACCCTAGAAATTGACTCTGGCAGGGTTCTCAGTAAGTACATTGTAAAACTAAACATTTTGTGATGCTCAGTAGGGGACATTCATAAGGTGTAAATGAAGCCACTTGGTTTAGATAAGATCCATTGCAACCTGGAGATGAAAAATTTTATAAATATAAGGGGATAAATATTACCACCAACAAAAATCTTTCTAGATTTAGACCCACTGATTATATTTCTCCTAAATATCAGAGAAATCTGTGGGGAGGAAAAAAGTATTTTGAAGGATTAAATTCCAGGCCATATCTCAAGGTTACATTTATGTCCAGTAGTTGCTTGAATAGTTCTGTAAATGGAACTCACACATAGAACCACAGAATCCCTTCTTCACAGGGCATACTTTCAGGGTTGGATGATATTTAAAGAATAAATCAAGCCACAGATCTGTTGGTATTCCTAAAAAGAAGAGTGGTGTGCCAGTCATTGGCAGCAGTACATGATGAGCCCTGCTGGGCACGGGACAAAGGAGAAACTGACCTAAACAGGAGGGCACTCTAATAGCTGTCCCTGCCCTCCCCACCTGTTAGCCCTCGGTGCTAACTTCACAGGTCAAATAAAGGCACGCAAGTGCATTAAATAATTTTTTTAAAAAACTGCCGATGATTGATTGTCAATGTAGGGAGAAAAAATGAGGAGCTGTTATTTTCCTATCAACTGCTGGTCTCATTAACAAGGACAGGAAATGATGAATAAATAAAATTCTTACATTACTCCGGAAAAAAGCACAGCTGAAGAGCCTCCAAAGGATTTTAAATTCTGTCATTAGACAAGTAAAGAGACTAATTTCATGTAATGGCTACCTTAATCAGTGTCATAATATAAGCAGACTCAAGTTACCAGTGAAGGTGTGATTGACAGCGCCCGCCCCAGAAGTGAGCCTTGCTCCGGAGGGCCCCATTTCGTGAGGTGCCTTTCCAAACTGATGTGTACTCGGGATCTCAGGATTGCCTTGAGGGCCTGTGTAAAATACACCGACTTGTCCTCTCCTGGTCTTAGGGCGCTGCAGTGTAACGATGCTCTTTGGAACTGCCCTTGGCGCTCCGGCTTCCCGCCCTACGCACCAGTAGGTGGGCAGGGGCTGCTCTGGGACGCAGGGTGCCCCTGACACGGGGTCCTGGACACCGCAGCAGCCAGGCCCCAGAAGCTCCGCGCACACAGCCTCCGTTGGACCCCTGGAAGCTGGGTGCCTGGCCAGGGTGTGGCCTGGTGCGGCGCCCTCTGCCCCGCGCGGGGTGTCGGGACATCCCTTCCCACGTGGCGTGTTGTGGTCTGTTGGGAGTTGGCCGCGGCAGAGTCACGAGTCCAGCCGGCCCTGGAGGGAGAGACCCCGGTTCGTTCGACCCAGCTCCCCACGCCTCTGGAGGTCATGGCTTCCCCGCTGAAGCTGGAGCAGGACATACAGGGGAAAGTGGATTCGTTTCGGGCCCGCATTGCCCGGGAGGCCGAGGAACTGGTGTCCGTCTTCTTCCCGCAAAAGCTGTCGGAGCTGGATAGTCAGGTCCAGGAGCTCCTCCTGCAAGACCTGCCCAGAATCCGCTCGGTGCTAGCCGCCCCGGACACTGCGGGGGATGGGTCCGACCAGGATCCGCCGCCCGTGCACTCCCAGCCCTCGGGCAAGGTACCAGCGCTGCCAGGCGGCAAGGGACCGCTTCTGCGGAGCAACCAGCATCTGGTGGAGCTGATTGAACGGGTAAAACCTGAGATTGAGCTGCTCAGAGAGAAGTGCAGCACGGTGCGGATGTGGGTGCAGCTGCTCATCCCAAAGGTGGAGGATGGCAACAACTTCGGAGTGTCTGTTCAGGAAGACGCCGTGGACCAGCTGTGGACCGTGGAGAGCTCGGCAGCCTCCTACCTACGCCGCTTCTCCACCTACTACAACACCCGGGCCAAATTGGTATCCAAGATGGTGAAATACCCCCAGGTGGAGGATTATCGCCGCACTGTAGCCGAGGTCGATGAAAACGAGTACCTGAGTGTGCGCCAGACACTTCTGCATGTACGGAACCAGTATGCCACCTTGCACGATGTAATCCTCAAAAACATCGAGAAGATCAAGACCCCTCGGAGCACCAACACTGAAAACCTATACTGAGGACCTTTCTCCATCCTACTTCCCTTCAGCAGGTGGCTGAGCTGTTTAGGCAGCTAAGAGGCTGGTTATTAATTACTCTACAGGTGATGAAACAGCTGAAAATGTGCATTCCTGCTTAGTGACAATATCATACAGCTGACCCTCATACTGACTCTTGGTGTAATTTTTTATTCTTTTGGGGAGAGAATGGAGAGGAACCATCTGGTAGACGTTTGTAAGATGGGTCAAGGAGAAAGGACTGCCATTTTTAAAAGCAACTTTGTAGATAAATGTTGGCCAAGGTTTCTTTTTTATGGCATTGGTGACATTGAATGGTTCCAGGGTTGAGGGGAGGTTACCAAAGAAAACCCAAGTCTAATCTTTAAATCTCATTTTGGCAGATTAAAATAAAACTTGGTTTTATCATTTTATGATGGCCTAAGTGTGCTTAATTTGAACTGTAATTGTCATATGTATAGGATTTCCTTCCTCACTTGGACTCATACCCTTGATATTTTTCAACTCTGATATCAGGTGTAAGAAAAATGAGCATATAGAGAGTAATCTTAATTTTCTAAAGAACCAGACATCCGTATCTCCCTAAGAATGAAGAGGTATCTGCGAAAATGGTTTCCTTGCACAACCTCCTACCTCAGCTTCCATTTTCCTTTTTAGACACAGTTTAGATTTTCTTCTGTGTATCCATTTATCTCCTAAGTCCCTGCTGAGTCCTTATGCTTTGTATCGCATTTACTTTTTTTTCCTCCTTCCCCTTTTGTCTCTTAAGGTATTTCTTACAAGCTCTCATGAGAATTTTCGTCTCATATTATGTGGGTCATTTTTTAAATGTAAAGACTCTAAAATATGGACAGGTTTCCTTGTGCCTGGTTTTGCTGCCAGGATGAGGTTAAAACCATTTTTGTCTTTAACAGTGACCTATATACTGGTATTTTTCAAGTCTAGCATTTTCAGATCTCATTTGCAGGTATAGTAAATTACTGCACTTTGAGTCACCTCACGCATAGTATTTCTTGTGATGTAATGTATCCTTCATAATGGTTTCTGTTCAGAATTCTGTCTTCTGGTGATAAGGATATTTTAGCTAGCTGAAGCATATTTATTCAAAACATTCTTTTTAGTATTAACTATTTGAGGATCTTCATCACAAAAACACCACCTGTGGAAATTACAGATTGTACATTTGGAAAAGCATGAGTGTGAGTTATTTTTTATGCCTTTTCTACATATACGAATTTGATGATTCCTGTGGACAGTTGATGGCTTTATCTTATTTCCATGTCCAGTTAACTGTCCCTTAGCTTTCAAAATATTTTTGAGACTGCATATGTAAGGCCTTAATCTTATAATGTATTTTATAGAGTACATTCATGCAATAAAGTATTTCCCAAGGTGAGCTTTTTGTGGGATGATTATGAGAGAATAAATGTATTTTTTTGTGAGAAATGAAAATTCTATTTCCCGTTAAAATTTCTTTTCTACGTATCTGAAACTGGGTGACCATGTTTCACCCAAGAATCAGTCTAGTATCTAACTTAATTGTCACCTTTCCCCCCCTTTTTATCATTTCTTTGTAAGGGTATATTCCTTGCTACAAATGAAATTACCTCCTGATCTTGCTAAAGATAGGGTCAAAACATGATTATTTATCTCTTCATTGATCTTAACTGCCGCCCCCCACCCCTGCCCCCGTCTGCTGCTACTTCCCCTTTTTTCCATTTAATGAGTGAGGTCACTTCTAAATGAGACTTTTAGGAGTTTCTCTTCAACAATGTGTTTTGGTTGCCAAGGGTGAAAACCAGCATGAGCCTTAGTGCACTGACTTGACTAAAAGCCGCCATAAAAACATTTCCTACTTAACAGCAACAATTGTTTAAGATGTAAAACGAATGTTGCCTTTGCATGTTTTTTTTTTTT